TCCCTATCGCTCCACAGGAAATCACAGATTTTTGAAAGTGACGGCGGCCGAATACTAAATCTGTACATACCATCTTTTGACCCTTGCTCATATGTGTTTAGATATGTTTACCATGTTTTACCTATTCAATATGACTTTTTTCAGGGTAATCCCATCATTTGGCAAACCATGGCAAACCCATATATGGAGATGTTGGGCAATTTCGTGTGAAAACTTGGCATTTCATCCTTGTATCCGGGTCTTCTGAAGGCAGTGAAATATTTTTCCGGCATCGGTTCTGAAGGCCACACCAGCCAATATTTGTTGCCGGAAAACATGGGAAAAGTCCCATTTTGTCATATTCCCATGAAGTTACCATTAAAATACCATGAAATTCCAATAACGTCCCCCAGTCCAAGGTGTTTTAAACCATACCAATTTTGTAATGAAGGGCAATTGTCCATAATTGTCGGGCGATTAACAATATCACTTAATTAATATGATTTATATGATATGGGTTGTTATAAATGGGTTATTATAATGGTGCCGTTAGTTGGATGGTTTTCCTATGTTTTCCCACTAAATAATGGTGAGACAAGCCATCCATATTCCTCCAGGGTGCTGTCCCAGCACCGCCGCGGGCCAAAAGCTGCGGTGCTGCTGCAAGACGCGCGGAAATTCCGGCAGCGTCGTGACTTCCGATGCCAGGCAACGATAGGCACCTTGCAGAAACTCAGGGAAGCCCATGGAATCCCTAGGGCCCTGCCATGCCCTGCCATGAAATTCCGAAAGTTCCGGAAGTTCCGGTCAAAAAATGGGACTTGAATGAAATTTCATGAAATTGGATGGGCAAACACAGGGAACCTACCAGCAAACAAGGATAGAAGCAGCAACGGGTACTTCAATTTGTACTTGACTTCAGACCGAAGATACATAAATGAACATCATCTGGACATGTCTGAGATTGTCTGAGCAACGTGAATCTTGGTTACTTGGAGGATCATCCCAGGAGTCGTAACTGGTACGATACTGTAACCACCATAGATGGTAACCACCACGAGCATCCGGCTTACTGCCTTACGATTCATGGGATGATACCCACAACTCAACGGATCTTGGCGGATCTGAGGGGCCGGTGCTGCTAGGCTGGCAATGGCTGAAAGTCAAGGTAGGGCGGCGGTATGCGATATAGCAAATAGGATCTACGTAGTAGTCATAATAGTAGTAGTAGTATCTACAATGGGTATATAGATATATATATAATATCAAATCCTCTGGATAAAGCCATCTTAATAGGGATTGACCATCCAATCTGGGAAAGTAGTCCAGCAAAAAAATTGAAGGTAACCCTGGCTTTTACTATCTTTTAACTTTCCCTTCATGAAATTCTGGGCAGGGACCATCCCCAGTATATCCCTATGGAAGGATGCAAAATGACACCCGGTGGGTTGATTACTCAGTATTTAACTACCACGCCAATCCGCTGCGGACCGAGAAATATTTGCCTTTCTGGCATGTTGAGATCATGAGCAAGCTCTTCCAACACACCGGAATCTAAAGACACTTGCAGAACGCTTGTGAATTTCTGCGTGACCCACCAGCATTTCAGACCCAACATATAATCTTGTCTAGAAGCTTGCGAGCTGATCTTGGACAGAGCCGCCAGCAAAATCGTGAGCGCCCCACGTAACGATAGATCCATCTGCGGGACGGCAGCAAATGCGAAACCTGCGGCCTGAATCGTCAAAACGTCTTTGAGTTGATGTTGAACAGCAGAGCTGTCCCCACCACATGCTGGGTGGCCCCATGTCACAACAGATCTATCTGCTAAGATAGCAGCGAAAGCATGGCTTGAGCCATGAATCTGCTTCACATCCCTGAGCTGGTTTCGAACTGCAGCACTGTCACCCCCAGAAAATTCAGAGCCCCATGTAACCACGGATCTATCCGAAAGGATGGCAGCGAATGCACAGTTCGTGGCTTGAAGCTCCTGCACATTCCTCAGTTGATCCTGAACGCTGGAGCTCTGACCACCGCGATCTGGACGGCCCCATGTAACAACTGATCCACCATCCAGGATGGCCGCAAACGCGTAGTCTGTGGCATAAACATTCTGCACGCCAACGAGTTGATCTTGGACTCCGGAGTTGTCACCACCGAAATCTGGAGCTCCCCATGCGACCACGGAGCCATCCTCCAAGGTCGCCGCGAATGCGAAGCCTGCAGCTTGAATGGCCCGCACACAGCTGAGCTGGTCTTGGACGGCCGAGCTGTCCCCACCGGAAGCTGACTGACCCCAGGTCACCACCGAGCCATCCGAAAGGATCGCAGCGAAGGCAGTCTGGGTCGCCTCAATCCGTCGCACATTCCTCAGCTGACCTTGAACTTCAGAGCTGTTGCCACCCAATAAGGGAGAGCCCCATGTAACCACAGATCCATCTGCCAGGATCGCAGCAAAAGCACCCGCGGTGGCGTGAACCTGTTGTACACCCTTGAGCTGGTCTTGGACCTCAGAAATGTTGCCACCCGCATCTGGATCGCCCCAGGTAACGACAGATCCATCTGCCAGGATCGCAGCAAATGCACCATCTTTTGCGGCCTGAACATGTTTCACATGCCTGGACTGACCGTGAAGAGCAGAGTTGTCACCACCCGCATCTCGACTTCCCCATGTGACTATCTTATTGCCTCCACAACACCACAAGGCAAAGGCATTGTTTGTTGCTGAGATCTTTATTTCAAGTGCAATCGCTGTCAAATGTTCTCCCTCTTGAACGTCTGCTTCTAGCAGCAAATCTGTATCGGGTAGGGCTTGACCGCGGGGGTTAACAAGCCTTAAAAGCCTTGTCCAAAATATTTTTGGGACAAAATCCTAATGTCCCCTACTTTGGAGGACTGGGAAGCTGTAAAATGTGTCTCTTTGCCGCTGGGCAAACATACGTTTATTTGAATCATCAAAAAAAAACACCCGACCCTTTGAAAGGTCTCGAGCCAAACTTGATCATGGTCTTGAGCAACTTTCCACACTCAAGTCTTGTTAACTAGAGAGCAAAAGGCAGCACTTCAAGACCATGAGCCGATGTGCAGTGTGTAAAGATGGAAAGTAGAACATGGTAGAACCAGATAACCAGTATGGTTTGTGCCTGTGACATAAACAGGTTACATTGATTTGTCTGAAATAGGGTATCCCCAAATTTCAGGGTTGATTAGATTTAATCAGTCAATCATAATGTTGCCTAATAAAATTGTCATTGTGGGATATGCCTGCCGATGTATCCCATTTTCAGACACACCATGTCGTTTTACACAATACCCACATGAATAATGAACAATCCTGCAGGGCAAAACAAAGTTGCCTGTGCTTTGTTGACTAATTTAACTGATTTGTAGCACATTAGAATAATTATACACATCATTATATACATCAAACTTCGGAGTGTTGTGTCAATGTATGTATCATATCATCAGATCTTCACTAGTTTCACTTGGTGACTCTTGGCTCCTGATTTTCTCAACATTTCCCGGCCCACCTTGGATGTTTTTGGGATCTGAAAAACACATCCAATCCACAGAGAAAGGTTGATCAATTTAACGGGAAAATCCACTATAAATCACCTTTTTTAACGGGAAAATCTATTATTGGTTGATCAATTTTTTGGGGGTGATCTCCAATACCTGGAAACCGCTGAATTTCGTTGCAGGACCCTCTTGAATACACCTTAGTCCGTACAGAAAACGAATCATATGGTAGGAATGTGGCATCGACAAAACAGATCAAACAAGCACAAACACTATTTTTTGAGTAGTGGCTGCTACACCCTCTGTCATTCCATTTCATCCTGGTTAGCTATGAACTGTATGGTCAGTTCACGGATGATGATAATCCCTAATAGATGAATAGTAGTATAAGGCCCCAACTAATCTTCAAACAACCATCATTCATCAATCATATCACCATATCTTTGATGGTTCAGAACCCTGTATATAAATGACGATTAGATGCCATCCCAAACAACCAATCAACCAGGCGCTTTGCTCAGAGATCATCATCTCGTGCGTCACTTGGACAATCTTCAAGCGCTGACCTAAGCATTGGATGTTCACAAATTCATCACAGAAGGGTACCCCAAATCATCCAAGTCATTACCCTCTGGTAAACTAACATAGCTATTGAAAATGGCAATTTATAGTGGATTTTCCCGTTAAAAATTGTGATGTTCCATAGCTATATGTTAAATTACCAGGGGGTAGACCATTTTGCTATTGAAACCCATGGTGACGACTTGGGGAGCCCCCATGGTGACGCACTCCCCGAGCTCGGTGATTTCATCAAAATCTGAGTTCGTCAATGCAGACTATCATCCCATGGTCAATGGATTGGTTTAAGGGAAAATCTACAGGAAACCATGGTTTTTACTATCAAATATAGGGGTTTCCTGTAAATTTTCCCATCATCCAGTTCTATGACATGGTGTTTAAAAGTTGAGCATAACAAAACTGGTTACGGTGGTGCAATAACCATCTGGCAGTGTGTCAAAACCTTGTACCCCTGGTGAACATCAAAATAGCTGGTAAATGGATGTCCATCCCATTAAAAATTGTATCTATAGGTATTGACCCATACCCATCTTGAACATATTCAATGGGAAGGATGACATCCCATATTATGAAATGGATTGAAATGGAAAATAATCCAATCATGTTCCAAAGCACCAACCAGATACAGTCTCATCCATGTCCCATCCATTCCCATCCCCCCTTTTCCAACCGAAAAATCCGACACCAAAATCCGCCGCCAAAGTGCTTCCCCCGGTGCACATCAACGCCATGAGCTCCGGGACTCCATCCAGGTCCGGCAGGTCCGGGCTAGGAGGGGAACCTGATGATTTTCGATCAGGGTGAAGTAGCCCAAATGGAGCTTAAACCCATTGAACCCAGCAAAATGTGGGTTTTTCATGGGTTAACTAGGCAAAAATGAGGGTTTTTGACGCCCAGAAAATGGTTGAACTTGGTGGTTTCAGAAGGTTCAACCAACTTAAGAGACATGTGTCAACAAGGGAATTTGACCAAGAATCGGTTTTTTGTGATTGAAGGCACATTGTGATTGAGCCACCGAAAAAAAATGCCATTAATTTCAAAATGGGCTGGGCAAAATTGAAGGCCCAGCCAGAGAATGGATTGACTTGCCATTTTTTAAATAGTAAACCGTCGCAGCTTTTTGGCCCATTTTGGGAGGCTTTTCGGATGAGTATCCCAGCACTGAAAATTCTCCCATTCCTGGGGTATCCTGGGGTTATGCCACTTAGGACTCATTTTTATTTACCAATGAGGATTCCTGGGATAAAGAACCAAGTGGAACAATCAGAAAGACCTCGACATATTCACATTGAAGTTCATTGAAGCCATTAGCTGCATTAGCTATCACTAGACTAGGATCTATGGGGTCTCGACATGTTGCTGAAAAGGTCAACCCATGATTTGCGCCCTCAGCGGCTGGAAGATTTTTATGGAGGAACCTGCGAAATGGGGATCCCCAAAAGAATGGGTGTCAATTCTACAATTGCCAAAGTTTGGTTGATTTGGAGCAATTTGGAGCTACCCCCATGACTTAGAAAATCTCTAAATCACTGAAAAACATGGAGAGAAGGATCTGAAACCACGACAGTTTGAAGCCTTCACTGGAAACATGGATCTGCCCATTCCGCGATTCACTGCCGGTGGCTCTTCCCCTCCCATGACTATTTCACGAAAGTAACAAACATGACCGGTCCATGGGTTTCAGCTTGAACATGTCGAGATTTCCTATGATTTCCTGTTGATCAGTTGGAAAACCAGCCGAAATCCATTAACAAAAACTTAAAAAGGATGTATCCCAAATAGGATAAGAGCCTATTCCCAGCTGGAACAACAGAATCCTCCACAATCCTAGCCGTCTCCCGCCTGCGAGCGCTTCTAGATTTAGCAGTTGGACCTAAGATGGCTACGTTTGAAAAATCGAAAAATAACCAAAAATTGCAATTCTTGTGGTGAAAATGATGATAACATTATAAAATTCTTATATATGTATATATATATATATTGATTTATAATATGGATATTTATGGATATGGAATTACCATGAATTACCTCTTTTTTTTGTTGGACACGTTTGAAGACACACCCATAATATGCCAGCGGAATCTTCTCTTCATGTTACTTCTGAAGGTGCGGACGCTACCGGGACTTAGGCCCCAATTATTTGCACAATTTTTTGGTGGTTCAAACGACAAGGGGCCTAAGTCGCACTTGATATTAATGTAGAGAGTAAACAATGGTTACAACTTGATTACCCTCTGGTAAACTAACATAACTATGGAAAATCACCATTTTTCATGGGTAAATCAACGATTTCTATGGCCATTTTCAATAGTAAACTGTTTGTTTACCAGAGGGTATTTGCACAATTCTTCGCAGAGTAAAATCACCAACTCTGCAACTGAACATCCCAGGTTCTTGATATCACTTGATATCACTTGTGCCATAGAAGATTGTTCTGGGCTATTGGAATTGGACCAGCTGAACCACACGCCATTCCACTGGCCTGGAAGCTGATGCCCAAAAAAAGCGAATCCCCGAAGTCGAATTTTATGATTTGTTTGGAGGTCTCCAATTTTTCACCAGTTCTTTCAGGTCAAAATCCCCCCGACAAAAGTGGCAAGTCGACCACGTTTTCTCATCAAGTTGCTGATCCCAGTTCCGCCTTTGCCGAGCAGCTAATCACCTCAGGGCCATAGCGAGCGGGCTTGCTGTGTGGGATAACTATGGATATGGGATATCCATGGATGTCCCATGCAAGCAGATATATAGCTATAATTATAGTTGTATTGATATAAATATGTATCTGCTTTTATAGTCATATTTCTATATATAGAAATATATATATATATGTACATGTATAGCAGATATATATGATATATGGCTATATTGAGTGAAATTAATAGAAATCAACATCAAAGCCAAAAACTACATGGATTTTCCGGGCAGCCCATGCCAGGCAGTTCATTGTTCATCCTAGATTCCGGCCATCCTCAGCTGTTCTGAGTGTCTCACAACCAATACTGAACCTATCTCTATCTTAACTTATAAATTATAAGTAAGCCTCAAGTTAGGACCTGCCAAGTGGGGTGCCAAGTTTTGTCAGTCCATCCAACAGTTTCCCTCTCTCGAAACCTCTTAAAGTTATCATAAGTCATAAATCCCACCATAAATCCCAGAGTTTCCCACATTCCAATCCTTCCAATCTCAATCCAACCAGTATCCAACCAGTAAATCCACCATTTTTTCTGGTGAAATCGGTGAAATCGCCCAGCGACGAGTTCAGGTTCCAAGGTCTTCAGCAGCCAGTGATTCCGCGCCCGCTGGCGCGACACGTTGGGCAAATCCGTGCCTTGGAAACGCAGAAACGTTGAGCTGGTGAGGTTTATAGTGGTTAATGCTTAGTTCCTGGGTAGTTGATGGTTCGTTAACGATAGTTAGTAGTTGGTGGTTAGCTACTGCTTAGTTAATTGTTAGTTGATGCAAAATATTGGGTGTAGCTCTCACAATAAGAAATGAATGGATTCAATGGCCATTTCAGGAACCGATTGATTGGAGGTACCTACCATGTGTAAGGCCAATTTTTCAGGCCTAAATTTCAGGGGATATCCCCACAAAATATGGCCAGAAATATGGTACTAACGTACCTCCATCAATTGGATCCTGAAGATCTCCCATTGATGGATGGGAGTTTCATACAATGGGGGATCCCCAAAATCAAGGTTTCGAATAGTAGAATGGTCTAAGGACTTGGATGAGAACTGGGGCTATGACCATGACTTAGGAAACCTCCTGACCAGAATGGGTAGAGCATATCCTCTTACCAATATATATTAATTATAGAACATAGTATGGATGGTTAAGAAATCCTGCACCACCTAGTGTGGTAGAAAGCCGAAAAATACTGGATTAAGAAAACACCTATCAACTGGTGCAGGATTTCTTTCATTCACTGTATCAGGTATTTCAGGTTACATATCCATATGAAAAATGATGAAAACCGCCCACAATTCCCCAATTAGTTAGATTATGTTCCCATTAAAACCTCCACGTGTAAAGGATTTTCCATTATTTTCCATTGCCAGAGAAGTGTTGGATTTTTTTAGGCTCCAAAATCCTCCAAAGCAGCCCCCTTTGAAGCAGGCTCTGATGCGATTGCAAGAGCCACTGAAGTCTGCAGGGTAATTGTTAGAGTCAGAGTTTGATTGAAGCATGAAGTATTCAGCCGGCTGGCTGACTCAGTTTCTAAGAAAGAGATGGATTTGAAGTTGATTTAAGCGATACTACCTACATCCTCATCTCATACCAGCTATATCCCAGTGGATAAAAATATTGCAAATGGGTGAGCAATTAAATTTTCATGTAGCACTTGAAGATCCAGGTAAAAAATGGCATATATATATGGTATATGATCGGTATATGTCTGGGATCTGAGCGATTGAACTTGTTAAATTTGACCAACCAAACTGCATGGAGATGCTTCCCAAACATGGAGATGTTACCCAGCCAATTCATCAAGACGTCAACAAAGATGGGGATGTCACCAGCATGAGAATACCAACCAACAAAGGTGTCTAGTTCAACTGAAAACCAGGATATGTATTAAAAATGAAGTGAATGTAAGCCAGCAGAATGGGATTCGGTGAAAAATCCCAGCGGGAGCAGGAGTAGTATCCATAATATTATGGCTGCTTGTCAGGCTCAAAGCTCTGTGGGATCTCAAACCCTTCCAACGGTTGACACCGGCCTTGCCGCTGCCACTTTTCATCCTGTTAGGCCCCGCCACATCAGTCTGCGGCGTCGACACTTCATTGATCTTCATTGCATTTCCACATTTCTTTGGTGAAGCTGTACCTGCCAAATAAACCTTATGGCCATGCTCAATCTCCTCAATGGAACACTCCTCAACGGAACAAATTGTCTGAACACATAGGAGAAAAAGTTGAATCCAACCATGTTCATCATTCCATCTAATTATCAAAATTCCAATTTTACGAAATATTTACCCCATCTTCAAACACAGTCAAACAAAGGAAAATCATGGTCTGTCCTGCTTGAATTCTTATGGTTGATCACAAAATACGCATAAAATCACCATGTTTCATACTTTCTCTTCACCAAACAAATACACCAACAGATTTCTGGGTATTGTCTGAAAATACCCAAAATCCAATGGTTTATCATGGTTTATCATGGTTTATCATGGTTTATCCCTAAGAAATTGGCCTTTTTTTGGGGCTATCCATTCTCAGACTGAGACCCACATCCAAGGCATGCCCTGGGCCTCCGCGCTGAGTAAGACAAAGGTCCAGCGGCACCGTCCAACGGCCAGTAGCAGCGGCAGGAAGTCAGGGTGAGTCCTGGGGGGTGTGGGGGCCCCTGGGGGTCGTGGGATTTCCAACGAGCTCCACATTCAAAAACCAAGGGAATCTGGTTGGCGGTTGACCTACCCCCTCTGAAAAATATGACGAATCGTCAGTTGGGATGATGACATTCCCAATATATGGAAAATAAAAGTCATGTTCCAAACCACCAACCAGGAATACAATGGGAATACATCCTAACCACCAGATATAGTTATCCACCAAAACTGGGAAAAACATGAAAAAGGATAAAAACGATGGTTTAGGACGGTGACTGATTTATGGCGGATATATCTGCAGGTGGACCGTCAAATCACCAGTTAGTTTTCCTCAGGTGTCTGAAATCCACAGAAAACACAGCTAAAAGACTGGAAATCCCATTAAAAAGACCATAAAAAATAGATTAAACCAAATCCCATTTTTAAAGACCATAACAAATCAAAACTTTCGGCTCCTGTCCACATAGATAGCCACCAGCTTTCGCAGGCCAGCCTTGGGTGACCTGCTAAAGCTCAACGTGGTTGTGATCTCAGCATGAAATATGTGGGGAGCGGGGAGCCAACATAGCTTGGATTTCACCGTGAATGAATCGTTGGGAGTAGCATACCAATAGATACGTCTGAATCCATCGATCGAATGGCTTTTGGCAAACTATCATTCACAATCCCATTCCGTATATATACAAAGCATCATTTGAGTGGGATTTGACGCAGGATTTGGAAAGCAGAGGATTTGGAACGCAGATTATCCAAGCAAAAACATGTGAACTTTGAACATATGGTTGCTGTTTTGCAGCCACCCAAGGGAGAGACCCAATTGGGTGTGGCTCATGGCTACTGAAGTACTGATGGGATTCCACCTTCGAAGTAGATCCAATCTCTGCCAACCATACTTAATATGTGTGCACCGTTTCCCTATTATATAAGACTGGTTCTTCAGCCCAGTAAGTGGGTCATAACATGTCATAACTCCAGCATCCTGCTTATAGCTAGGGTGAACTAGCCCACTTACTATTCCTGGGGTGAACTGGACCAAGTATTATGGTTTGATATGACACATTTCTAACTAAAATGGACCATGTACCAGGGGTGTATTAACCTATTTTTGCGCATGAGCAGCTGCTAAACCCGAAGTGGCATTCCATGAAATACTGGTTGGTCAAGATCAGGAATCTCAGTTCATGGATTATTGTAACCCCCAATAAATATATATATACTAGCGAACTTGCACACAAGCATGATCGTTGTCTCCCTCCACTTCAAGCAGAAGGGCCGCAGGGAGCTTTTGGCAGACATCGAATCTTCCATGACATTGACGATGCCTTACACATCTACATGGTAGAATACGTGGCGGACCATGTAGATTACCATTTGGATGTTCAGGCATTTGGCAAAGCAGTCCGAGCATGGATCTTGTGCCACGCGATTTCATGGACGAGAATGACCAACACCGTCAAATTTTTCATGACCAATTTCACAGAGGAGGATGCGACCATTTTCCATATTAACTTGCAGCAGCTTTGTTTGGAGATGGATCACACTCTTGACCCGATGAACTGGGACTTCTTGCGACATTTGCAGGGATCACGAGCTCAGGAGGGCAACATTGCCGACTGTCACCGACAATGCCATTCCTGGATGCAGAAGTGGCTACACAATCAGACGCAAGATGTTCCTGCGCAGATGGGGCGTACGCGCATCGTTTTGCACGCATTTTCAGGACGCCGACGCCTGGGAGATCTGCAATACTATTTAGAGAAAGACCTACCAGCAGAAGCCTCGTTTGACTTGGTGGTGGTGTCATTAGACATTGTGATCAACGCCCATTGGGGAGACGCCACCAGAGAAGACACCAGGAGACTGTGGCTGACTGCTATCAGGGACAAGCACGTCGTGGGCTTCATCGCTGGCCCCCCCTGCGAGACATGGTCTCGTGTGAGAGGAGCACTTCATCCTGCGCAAGGAGAAGAAGATGACCGCGATGTCCAGGCGATGGGCAGAGGACTTCCGCGAGTTCTGAGGACGCTTTCTGAGCTGTGGGGCCTTCCATCTTTAGGACTTAGAGAATTGTCCCAAATTTTGATTGGCAATAGCCTACTGATTTTTACGCTAGAGGCCATTATCGAGGTAGCCCTAGCAGGAACTGTAGGAATTGCCGAACACCCGGCTGAGCCAGTAGATCTGGAGGACGCTGCCTCCATTTGGCGTTTGCCTATCATGCAGGTAATTTGCCAATTGCCAGGTGTAGAGCGAATTCGCTTTGCGCAAGGTCTTCTAGGGGCTAAAACTGTTAAGCCCACTGAATTCCTTTGTGTCAATTTGCCATCGATGATGCACCATCTGCACGCCAACCGTGTGCGTACAGAACTCCCCAAGGGGCAGTCGATCGGTAAAAACAACTTAGGACAATGGCGCACGTCCTCACTGAAGGAATACCCGCCATCCCTATGCAAAGCGATGTCAGATGCAGTCCATTCAGCTTTTGGCCGATGTGCGGCCGCTGAAGGCCATCCCAATGTCCCTGCGCATCTTCTTGAGATCTGTTGTTCCATGCAAGTGACAGAGTATGGTAAAACGTTTGGTCCAGATTATGCGAGGTGACATTTCATTTTGTGTTTCCCGAATTCAACGTGCGGAGCACGTGCCGAGCCGCAGCGACATGGCAGCAAAGAGCTCTCAGGAAAAAAAATATGTATATATATATGTATATATATATGTATATATATGTATGTATTACATTATATACTATATACAACTGTATATATCATATAATTATATATATATATAACTATATATAATTATATAATTATACATATTGTATATTCTAGAAATGCTTTATAATCTATATCATATATGATATATTGGGTATTGCCCCCAAACTAATCAACCAACGAAGCTTTTGGACAGAAATCAGTGTTCTCGTCATCCCAACAGACCTGGAAATCTTGGAGGAATTCCAGAGTTGCCTGGAACGAATTGAGAAAATCTGGTTTTTTTCTATAGAAAATCTGGGATTTTTCTATGGAAAATCTGATTTTCATGGAAATCTTATGGAATTTATGGGAATTTCAGCAGATTGTTATAGGATTTGGGGGCCAAGATGTGAGCAGTGTTGGTTAAATCATGTTCGATCCGCATTCTCCACTATAACCAATTCCCTAACCACTTCTTTGGGCAAACTATTAGGGAGCAGTCTTCAAAACCCGAAAGCTTGTTCCATTTAATCCAGGTTGCTTCAGACCGGGATCCCATTAATGGATGATTATCCCCAATATATTGGGCCGTATAATCCCCAAACTAATCATCAACCAACAGGGGTGTTGAACGCTACTCGATTGGTAAATGCATGAATCAAATGGTAAATGGATTATATGTTTACTGTTGAATTATGACTTAAGGTAAATATATGTTGGTAAACTAGTTTACTAGTGACATACTGTTACTATTCACTGGTACTACGATTCGTAAAAACTTCGTTGGTGAATTGGTACATCGACTAGCAATATTCAGAGGGTACCAGTCGCTCCAGCTGAATATGTTCAAAGAATTAATCAGTCAAGTGGTTTAAAAAAACACACGTACCCTCTGGTGAACTAGCATAACTATGGACAAAGAATACAATTATTTTATATGATCTTGATAGGTAAATCAGCTATAAATGCTCCATTTTCCGTAGCTATGTTAGTTATGAAGTGGGTAAGTAACCAGTTCATCTGGATGATTCAGTGGGATACCACCTCCCAAATGATTGAGCTCAATGTTCCACGTTTCCTCGGATGATTTTGGAGTTCATTAATGGGCAATGGGTTCACAGGGACATGTTAAGTTATGTTTGTGGTATGGTTTCTGATGTCATAAGTGGGTTATATAACCATAGTTGTAGAGGTTACCCTCTGGTAAACTAACATAACCATGGAAAATCACCATCTTTAATGGGTAAATCAACTATAAATGGCAATTTTCAATAGCTATGTTAGTTTACCAGAGGGTAACCATAGTTGTAGAGGTTATATCACAAGTTGTGGAGCTTATTGCCACAGTTATACCCTTGTCGCCTTGTCGCCCCAAGTGCACCCCTTTTTTTTCGCCCATCCATTTGGAAAGGGTGACCAGCAACTCCCGATGACCAAGATGTAATGCGTCAAAGAAAATAGTGAACCATCGCGGCAACCAACCATCTGAGGCTCACTGTAAAAATCGTCACAGATAGGGTTTCAGTTTTCTACTTTGCGAAAAAACTGTAGATCAGTTCGATACCAACAATTTGCCACTACATGGCAGCCAATATTTTGGAGGTCCCCGAGACGGCTAAGTTGGTTTATGACTTCACTAGCTATAGCCAACCATGTGGTCTATGGAAGTTTGTGGTAGATATCTGAAGTTAAGAACATAATGTTTGGGGGTCTCACCTTTTAGACAAAATCAGACAATAGTCATAAAAACCCTCTGGTAATTTGACATCATAGCTATGTTGAATCGCCATTTAAAAAAATGGAGGAACATCTACTGGTTGGTGGTTTTAACCATCTTGGAAAATATGAAAGTCAATGGGAAGGATGACATCCCATATATTATGGAAAATAAGTCATGTTTGAAACCACCAACCAGTCATTTATAGTTGATTTACTTATTAAAAATGGTGATTTTCCATAGTTATATTAGTTTACCAGAGGGTAAATGGTCCAATTTCCATTGAAAACAGACAAATTCTCCGGTAGATGCCTTGGTGTTTCATTCCCATCATGACCCTGGGCCTGGCCAAAGAATCACATTTCTGCACCACATCTGGCGAGGTCTAGGGGTCGACCAATGGTAGAAACTGTGACCTAGCAACCACCAATGCCTATATATAGTTACTGGTTGGTGGTTGAGCCCTACCCCTCTGAAAAATATATTAACGTCAGTTGGGATTTTATATTTCCCAATGTATGGAAAATAAAAAATGTTCCAATGACCAACCAGGTTATATCCGATTTATGTAGAGGATTGTGAAAAAAACATGGAAACAAAAACATATATTGTGGGATACTTCGGCTCTCGAAATTTCAGGGTTTTCCCATTTCAATTGTTACACAGAAAGTTTCATAATAGCTTGTCTTGTTCATCTAATCCTAGCACATGTTCACATGATTTCACATGTGTCGCCGTGCAACTGCACGGACAAAAAATGTGGTTTCCGGGATGTTTGCCGCATCTTTATCTCCATTGGATGGAAATGGATCGAAAAAAGAATTGATCACAAAAGGAAGATCACGAATTACCTTACTTCGAGTGATTAAAAAAAAACCTGACATGCTATTCTGACATAGATTATATTTTAAAAAAAACCTTTTAATCATGATAAATTTATATAAATCTTAAATACTGTAAGTGATAATCAGCATTCAACATCGCGTCGAAGCACGTCGAAGATATCGAAGGGACCGCGCCTCTATATGTCACCGTGGCGCCTTGGGGGCAGCACTTTACTGCCACTGCATCAGGCGTTTGGAAGGCCTGGTCGGGATGTTGGTAAATTCCTGGCATCCCAATGGTGAAACCAGCAAAAACCATGGGATTGAGTGGAAATTCATTCATGGCATTTACCCTCTGGTAAACATACAAAAAGCTATTGAACATGGCCATTTATAGTGGATTTTCCCATGAAAAATGGTGATTTTCCATAGTTATGTTAGTTTACCAGAGGGTAAATGGAAATATATAATGTGAATCAATGGGATTTCGGATTTCAATTTGATTGGAATCAGTTGGAATGGGATTTAACCGAGTTTGATGAGGTGTAACAGTATAACAACAACTATGGGGGATGTGGTTGTGTCTTCAAATATGGGTTTGATCATGATTGATCCTCAATTTATGGTCATGTTAAAGGGAAACAAGAACAGAATCCACCAGGATTCGTATCAACTGGTGTTGATTCTGGACTATATAGTTGTTGACAAATGGGTTGATCCTCTGGTTTTGTCTAACAGTTTGCCATGGAAAATCACAATTTTTAATAGGTCAATTATCTATAGTTAAATAGGCCATGTTGATCCATGTTCCAGTTTGCAAACTGTTTCTTATAACCTGAGGATGCCAGAGGGTCCATGGACAAAAAACCTGCGAAAATCATCTACATGGATCTAAGTCGAAGTGGTTTTCCAGGTTTTTCCATGGTTTGTCCATGGTTTTTCCATGGTTTTTCCATGATTTTCCATGGCCCCTTGACCAAGGGAGGGTTGACGTCTGGAGTTGCTTGAGATCTCGCCCGGTGAAACCAGTTCGCAAACTGTTAACTGTTGGGGGTTCCAGTTAGTCATGGGCGTAGCCCAATAGCTGGATGGTATATAATGTGTTTGATTTATAATGAAAAATCCTTAACATGGATTAAAATTGATGATTCAGGGGTACCCACATATTTTTTGAAACCTCCAAATAACCAGAGGGTAACTGGCGTTGATTTCTGTATGTAAAAAGAACCAGGCTGTGTGACACCACCTGGCAGAATGGACAACATGTTCACTCAAAGCATTTGGCATTAAAAAGGGATAAGTGACTGGATCAGGTTTGGGGAAGCCATGGGAATGTTATATCTATATTATGTATATATATATATGTGTATGTGTGTATATATATGTAGGTATATGTATGTATATATATATACATATGTATAGAATTTTAGTGTGTATATATATGATATATAGAATTATATAATTATATAGATATTTAGAGTAAAACCCAATCCTGAATCAAGGCAACTATAAGAATTAGACCGATTAGGCTTATATCACCAAAAGCAATGGCGATATGAACTAATGTTGACCATCAGTATGATGATATGATGATATGATTCAGAATAAACCCCAAGGCTGTTTTAAGCAAGTCCTATGCCTATGCTCTTTCCAATATCAACCATCGTTTAAGTGGGGTTGTCTTTCAAAGTTGCTAGATATACAAATGCATATCACATATTATATATAATAATAATAATAATAATACTAATAATAATAATAATAGCAATAATAATAGTAATAATAACAATATAACAATATTAATATATCAGATTCTCAAATAATGATCAAGAACACTTACAAATCTTACAATAATTCTCCAACCCAAATATATCATGTCACGTGATGTCTATGGTTTTTTTTGCCGCTGTGTCTCACCTGCTGCTCATAAATCTCCCAGATCCAGCGCGGCGATTCCATGGATTCCATGGGATGGGAAATCTCCATGGAAATCTCGGTTTTCACCAATGGTCTTCGGAGGTTTCCTGAAATAGGAGTAAGGTATAGTAATGGTGTATCCTGATTAGTGTCTAGCTTCGCTATTTTGATGAGTATCTAATCAAATCTAGGTTCGCTATTAGTGTCTAGGTTCGCTATTGTGATTAGTGTCTAGCTTCGCTATTAGTGTCTAGCTTCGCTATTTACAGTGTTGTATCCTGATGTTGTAATCAGGACGAAACATTACCCCCAAATCATCCAAAATTGAACCATTTGGGGATTCCCTATTATAGGAAACCTCCACATGGTCTTTACCATCGAATATAGGGAGTTTAACTGAAAAATGTGTCCCGAAGCGTTCAGCTCTTACTGGTAGGAGACTGACTTACGTCAGTCATAAATAGCTGCTTGCTGTCTTCTCTACGTAGCTAAAATCGTCATGACAAGGTTCAATTTCTTCCAACTTCAGCCCTGAAAGCAAACCTGTCATGCAAGTGTGACCTGCGAAGAGTTTGCATTGTGAGGCCACATTTTTTGGTGCTCTCTGAAACTTCAGCTCTTTTCCTCCTGAGTTGTGAGCCAATCATACGATTTTGAGCCTCAAGATCTTGAGATTCTTGCGACATCTTTTGATGACCTTTGTAACACTTTTCTGATCACCAAATTATGGGTAAAAACCACAAACGATGCCCCCAGTTTGACCAGTAACAACTGCTGCATGCCCAAACCACTGGGAGCTGGGAAAAAAAAGGCCCTTTGCAGCTTTAATATGACACTTTGAAGAGGTTCACTTAAGAAAAAGCACGATAAGTCGATAAGGTTACTTGAATTGGTGGGAAAATGTTGGAGACTTCTATCATATGTGCAAAAAAACCTTGCTTTTCTGTGAAATCAATAAACCCAACCACTGAGAGATGTATAGAAACCCACGGTATGACATGTTGGCCATCTCTCAAGATCCGTTGGTATAGCTTCACCACGACGTGGGACAACTGTCAAGACGTTGGTACATCAACGACCATCAACAAAAACATATATATATATACAGGATAAATTACAATGGTAATCCATGGTATTATCTAATGATTGTACCATGTGGATTGTACCATGGTATTACCCCATGAGAATAGACTGTAGTGGATTGTAATCTAATTACCCCATGTGGATGATTCATGTTGGCCCATAGCTTTAGGACACCACCAAACCCTTCCATCATCATCATCTTCCATTTGGGGAAATCCATTTGAATCATTCTAAATTTCGATCCCTGAAAAAAACAAACAAATACCAAGCGCTCAAAATTGGTGGTGTTTTCCCATTCAAGAACACCTCTGGTTGGTGGGTTCAGTCCCTCTGAAAAAAATGAATTTGTCTGTTGGGATGATTATTCTATATGGAAAAATAAAATTCATGCTCCAAACCACCAACCAGACCTTTATGTTTGCTGGCAAATCCCTGTTTCTTTCCTACCCGCCCACTTTCTGCCCCCAAAACCCCCACCCCGCGACTCGTGGTGTCCGCACAGTCTCCCAGTGCCGCCCATCTGCGGTGCTGCGAACACGCACCTGCCCTGGGGCATAGGCCTCGGCTGTGTTTGGTGGTGAAGAGTTATGCATCGGTTCTGTTGGTTACCTTATGTATGTAATTGATAGTTGGTAACTAATCAATAACACATCATATATAATGACTAACATTAACTAACCAATACAATCAGCCACTGATATATATATATATGATTATAGATGTATGCGTATATAGATAGTTGTAACCGACGAACATAGTTGTGTTGGTTGTGTTGGTTGTGTTGTGTTAGTTGTGACCATATATAGAATCGGATAGTTACGTTGGTTAGCTAATATCAATTACATGATGAAGTTGGTTAAGAACTACAATTCAACTACATCGTTGCTAAAACATGCTGCGTTGCAACCATGTGTTATTGTCAAAATGTTTTGGTTTATGGAAAAGTCTACAACAAATGTGTGTTTGAAGCTCAAATCTGTTGGGGGTTGCTGATGATACTTTCTCCTCAACCCAATCTGGGTGGAAGGTTGCAGGATGTCGAGAAATGGGGACGGTTTCCTGCTGGATTCAGCATCAACAAATGGGGAAATTCACTGGGAAAAAAGGGGAACTTGCCCATCAACAATTGTGGTTTTACGCTGTCAAAAAAAATGCTGATTGTCAACAAACATCATCAACGAAAAACATGATCGATTGGGAAATCTGATACTCAACCACTGGCAATCCCAGTTTCGGACTGAAGTTCCGGACTTTCGATTCCCGTGGAATGAAAATGAGCACAACTAATGAGAGGAACCCCTGAAACTTCATTTTAAAAAAGTTATGTCTAGTTTTTGTCCTGGAATCAAGCCATTGATTCATTCATTGGTTGCATCCTTTTCAGTATTATGCATATAATTATATATATATATATACGTATATACATAATATGTAGATGTCTATCATAATTTTGCCATGACTTCAGGATACTACCCATTAAACTTGCCAGTTGGACCAATACCCATGGATTCCCCGTTTAGGTGGCCGGACCCAAGAGACCTTCAAGGAGCG